CATGGACATGGGTCATCCAGCCAATGGGGCTTCTCATGGCTCCAGAACAAGGCTGCTGCTGCTTGCTGCCCACCCTTATTACCTGCCAAATTTGCGGGGTTTGGTCACTAAAAGTGGCAGCAGCCAGAAATAGGAAAAGGGTGGGCAAACAGCGGCAGAGTTAGTTCTGTGGGTTCTGGAGCTGCGTGGAGACGGCGGGTCTGGCAGCTGCAGCAAGAGCCCCACATCTGGCCTGTGAAAGTGGGTCATCAGCCAGCAGCAAGCCCTGGGGTTTGGATCCAGTCTATTATTTCCTTTGAGTTTGACATTTCTCTTCTATGCTATAATGTCTCGCACATCTTTCCCTCTTCTTTAGACCTCTCTTTGTGCCCCCGCTACAATCTCAGTCAGACTCTTTGCCATTGTCTTATTAGTGGTTCATCATCATCTGGGAGTCAGCTCCTGATTCTGTCCCAAACTCTCTTCTTGATCATGGGGGACCACCTGCCATCCTGCCTGTAACTCCAGTGTGCAAGCTGGGCACCTGCTTTGGGTCAGAGTCCCCTGCATGCCCTCGCAGCCAGGCCATGTCTAGCAAGTGCTTTGCACACACCTCTGGCCTGGTCTATCCAATCCATACACTCAGCTGACATCCTCATCCAGGTCTTCAGCCTCTTGTGCCTGGTGAAGCATCCTTTCCATGGCTGTGACAACACACTGTGCTCTGCTTAGACCATCCAGGGCACGGCTGCATGGATCATGATACAACCATGTTCTTTGACCAGGTTGCTCTTCTCTGGGTCTCCCTCTGCTGCCTCTCCCTCTTCTGCTGTGTCCCATCTCAGCTGCTCATCTTCACATTCTGTGTCCTTCGTGTCCTATCTCCCACCCTGCCTCAGCTCTCATTTGGCATCAAGTCATTGGCTCCCATCTGCCACTGCCTCATGAAATCAGCCTCCATCACTCATTAGGTTTTCAAACCTTCATACTTTTCCCAGCTACCTTCATGCTCTGAAGAGCTCCCAGTGCACATCCACAATATCTTTGTTCTCCCTCCCCAACGTGCCTACTTCTCAGTTAGGTCCACAAAAAACTTGATGGGAGTTAGACTTGATAGGTTACTCAGTCTCCTACCTGTCCAGTTGCTTCACCAGGCCTGGCACTTCCATATCTGCTTATATCCATCTGTTGTCTATTGTCTTACACTTAGGTTGTCAGCTCTTTGAGACCATGGATCCATGTGGGAATGGCTGGAGGTTTTGAGTAGAATCCCACAGGGGTCTGTCCTAGGCCCAGTGCTGTCCAACATGTTTATTAGTGATAGGGATGCTGGGATAGAAAGCTTCCTGAGCAAATTTACAGATGATACAAAACTGGGAAAGACTACCAACACACTGGAGGACAGGAGTGAATTCAGAACGATCTTGACAGATTGGAAAGCTGGGTTGGAGCTAACAGTTGAAGTGCAGTGCTGACAAATGCAAGGTGCTACTCCTTGGGAAGAATTATCAAAAACACGAATACAAAATGGGTGATAATTGGCTGGATGGCAGCACTACAGAAAAGCATCTAGGCGTCTTAGTGGACTACAGACTCAATACAAGTCTGCGTTGTGATGCAGCTACACACAAGATGAACATGGTGACACAGGAGGTGATAGTGCCTCTCTACTCAGCACTGGTTAGACCTCATCTGGACACTGCATGCAGTTCTGGGCTCTGCATTTTAGAAGAAAGTGGAGAAGTTAGAGAGAGCCCAGAGGTGGGTGACAAAGATGACCAAGGGCTTGGAAAGCAAGTCATATGAGGAGAGGTTGAAGGCAACATGCATGTTTGACTTATGGAAAATATGCTGAAGGGGGAACATTGTGCAGACTTCAAATATTTGAAGAGCTGCCAAAAAGATGAGAGAAGATGCCTTTTCTCTCTAGCTGCAGAGAGCAGGATATGGACCAATGGTCTGATGTTTCAACAAAGTAGGTTTAGATTGGATATCAGGAAAAACTTCTTCACTGTTACAGGAGGGAGGCAGTGGAATAGACGCCATGGGCAGTTGTGGAGTCTGCACCATTGCGGGTGTTTAAGAAGAGGTTAGATAAGCATTAGTCAGGGATGATCTATGACCAGCTCTGTCTACACTATCCTATGGGTATTTCCCATGCTTCTGGGCCTTGCTAGTTGCTGCATGGGGCTGGGAAGGAACGATGTTCCTCCTGTTTTTACAGGTATCAGAAGAGTGGCTTTTCCCCCTTCCTCAGAAGCAATGGGTTTTGGCCACAGCTAAAGCTGGGGATTTTGCCTGAGGTGTGCCAGTGCTCCTGCTGGGCTGAAAACCTGGAGGTTCCTGGTTATAGGGTCTTGCCTCTCCATTCAGGATCAAACTGGAAGGAATTTTACCAGCTGGTCAGATGGGTATGGACTGTGTTTTCTCTCCCTCTGCAGTGAGGGCTGTGGCCCTCCGCCTTGGACCTCTCAACTGTATTTTAACAACCCTTGCAGTGTAAGACACTGGCCAATATTATCCCTTTGCATAACCTCTAGCAGTTTAGGGTACTATATCTTGTGGTTGTGTTACAGGGTTGCTTGTGTAGTTTTAGTACTAAATTAGATAAGGTTTTGCTTGGCGGGGGTTGGATAGGGATGATTCTGTCTCAGGCGGGGGGTTTGGACTAGATGACCTCCAGATGTCCCTTCTTGCCCTACTTGCTGTGATTCTGTGGGTGCATCTACATGTACAATTACGGTGTCTGAATAACTGGTGGAGCGTATTGCTCCGGAGTTAATTGCTCCCATATGCGCCATTTCAATGTGTGCAAGGGAGCAATTAACTCCGGAGCAATAAGCTCTGCAGTTTATTCCAGTGCAACACGTGGAGCCTGCGTGGAGCAGCCCCAGGTGGCTGGGGGCACCTGGGGTAAGCCTGCCAGCCCCGGGCTGCTCCCCCGGCTTAATGTGCTGTGGACGGGCTGGCTGGGGCACGAGGGAGAATCAGCATGCGGTTAGCTGCCAGGCAGCCCCTGCACTGCAGCACCTTTGTGCTCCAGCCAGCCGGGCAACATCAATATGTGTGGTGCTGCGGAGAATATTTGTGTTTACAAGTACTATCCTGCTGCAGAGTAAATTCGTTTACTCCAGCATAATAGGGGCACATGCGTAGACACCAAGATGTTTATTGTGCGGCTAATTAATTTACTACACACTAAACAGCGCGTGTACATGCGTCCTGTGATTCGGAGCCTGGGGTCGCCTTTTGCCTTGCAGCAGGTTGCATGAAGGGGGCCTGAGCCTATAATTACAGCTGCTAGGTGCTGCAGTAAATCAAACAGGAAGAAGTTGCTGCTCTCACAGTGTAGCGAAGTGGGTCTTGCTTTTGGGATGACGTAGTTGAGAAATGTACAGAGGACAGCCCAAATGTCACAGTCGCTGACACTGTACAGGCATGAAGGAGGGGAACTAGTTGGGCACTAGTTTCACATTTTCCTTCTACTCAGTATGGCTGTGCTTAAAGTTATGGTTACATCATTGTTTGCAATGCAGAATCACCAAGCAGCTCACTGACTAGCCAAAGGCATGAATGCTTTGTATCCGCTGCAAGCAGTTGCATTGTGAGTCAAAGTCAGGATGACAGCTAGGGTTGAATGCTTTAGTGATATTCAGCATAAAGCTAGTTTTAAGAAATGGAAAAGCAATTTCCTGAGAGAGCTCATTTTGCACAATCCAAGTACAATCCATTTAAAAAAAAACTGGGGGCACCTGGTGTAAGCCTGCCGGCCAAGGGCTGCTCCCCTGGCTCTTAAGTGACATAAACTTTTTATAAAAGTTGTAAACTTTTTTTTTTTCATTTTCCCTTCATTTTCCTTCATGCTTTGCTTTTCTTCTATTTTCTCTCCCCACCCCGTCATTCCTTTTCCTTTTCCTTCCATTCATTTCCAAAGAAAAATGTTTCTATGAAAATGGTTCATGGAAAAAAGGGAAAAGAGGAGATGGGGCAAAACACAAAGGAAAAATGCTTATTTTAAAACAGTCTATGAAAAATAGACTTAAAAACTGTATTTTGAAGAACTTAAATCAGCCTTACATGTAATGTGTGCTTCCAAATGTTGCTCATTATGAATACTGCTTTTTGCTTATTGCATTCTTTTAATGTCAGCAAACTTGGCCACATTGGGCAGGTGAGAGGCAACAACGCACAGTGGTATTACTAAGTGTATTACTATGGGGCTACTCAGGGCACCGTTGGGTTGTCCCCTCTCCAAAGAATTTATAAACTACATGGACAAGGAATAAATAGAAGAAGCGGTCACTCGGCAGGTCAGAGACAGAGGTAAGATCAAGCATTGATCTCCTGATTGGTAGAGGACAACATTTCTCACACTCTGCCTTTTGATCAGGAAAAATGAATCCAGATCTAGCAACACTAAAGCAACTCATAAATTCATGTTGATGTCACCAAATGATTGCAAACCCACCCCACAAAACACCCAAACAAGCAAATAAAAGCAAGGCAGAACCAAGTGGTTCAGTATTTGGAAAACAATTGCATTTTTCAGTTCTTCTGGCTTTTTGGCGTGAAAGTAAATGTGTACAGAACATTTGGAAAGCCTGACAAGGGGTCAAAATCAAAACTAAGATTTAGCTCATATAGAAACAAGGCATTTTGTTCAACAGGGAACACATCTTTTGGTTCTGAAGCCACAAAAGCTTCATTTTCAGCTGAATTTAAAGCAATTTGGGGGTTTGCCTCCCATTATATAAATTGCCGTTGAACCAAATCCACCAGTTATTGGTCAAACTCCCTTCTAGACGCTTAGTTCCATTCCTTAGTTAATGGCCCTGCAAGGTGTGTGCAATGGCTGGGCACCAGGTGCACCACTATCGAGGTATAGGGACAGGCTACCCTAGCTGAAGGCACTGACTTGCCTGTGTGTGGGAAGGGAGCCCACACAGCCACAAAGGAGGGGAGTGGAGTTCACCCTGCTGAGCAACAGCACTTCCTCTGATGTCGGAGGGTGTGTGTTGGCTGGGTTCGCGCACAGGCGCTGGGCTGCCCTTCGAACACAGGCTGGGCTCTTATCAGCTGCCTGCATCATGGCTGGGGAAATCGTTTACGCTGACCTGAATATGCCTTCTGAGCCCCCCTGCCCAAAGCCGCCCAGCTCACGTCGGAAACTCAGTAAGTGGCTCTTGCTTCCCTCCATCAGGGCTGTTTCCTGCTTAAGAGTTTGCTGCTTCCATTGGAAGCCGGAGGAAGCTGCCCCACCTAGTCTGCCTGCTATGAAATGCCCTGGGTGGGAAACAGCAGAGTTTCCCTCCCCACTCAGCACCAGCATCCATTTGGATGCAGGGATGCTGCTTGCAGAAGCCTTGGAGGAAGGGGCAAGTCCAGGGACCCTCACACCAGGCAGGTGGTGTGCCACAGAACTCATCCCAGGAGTGGGTGGAGGTCTACTCAGTCACGGGAACCTTAGGGTCAGGCGGCCGGGCAGGAAAGGGACAGTGTTAGGTCTTCATCCACCTTGCTAGATTCCCTTGCATTTAACTGCAATCCCTGCAAGGCCTGTCTGGCCTCTAGCTGTGACTGGTGCAGCACGATCCAGTCAGTAGAGCACTATGTGAGGGCTCACAGGCCCTGCGCTCTCTGCCTCCCTTTGCCACTGATCCGTGGTCAAATGATTTAGAATAATAGAAAATTAGCATTGGAAGGGAGCTCAGGGAGTCACATTTAGTCCAATCCCCTGCTTAAAGCAGGACCAGCCCCAACTAGATCATCTCAAGGGTTTGTCTAGCTGGGTCTTATAAACCTCCAAGGATAGAGTCCACAACGCTTCCTGATAGACTTTTCCCCTCCTGGTGCCTCATTCCCCATCCCAGCCATTCCCATGTCAGCTGTAGGGTGCCCTGTGGGGCAGGACAGGCTCTTACCCTGTGTTTTGGCAGCAGCTGGCACAACCAGGCCCTAATCTTGGCTACCGGCCCTCGAGATACCACGGGGCTATCACAACAGACAAGCCCGGAGAGGAAAGCCTGGACGTACTATACAGTGGAGAGAGGGAGGGATGCTGGGTGGATGGAGCACTGGAGTGGGGCTTGGCCAAGATATGGGCAAGGGCTGGAGTCCTGCTGCTCTTCTAGGGCCTGCGGGCAACCCCCTGCCACTCCCTGTTCCTCAGTGTCACTTCTGTAAATACCAACCGCCCCTGCAAAGCCCAGTGAGACTCGAAGGGGAAGAGCACGCAGTGAGAAGTGGGCTGTGTGAGCAGCAGGGTGGTAGCTAGATCTTGTCTGCAGTGAGTGACATTAAACATACTTTTGCAGACTCCTTCAAGATGCCTGTGGTCTAATCTTGCTCTGAGCTAGTCTCACTTCTTCATGGATATTTTAAACCTGTTTTTTCTTCTCTGTGGTTCCAACTTGCCCAGCACAGAGAGGCCAGTGATGAATCCCAGCACTCAAGACCAAAAAATAATGCTGGCATGGGACACAGTGGGGAATGGCATGGCTTCATCCTTCTCCAAGCAAGGACAGTGACTCACAATCTCAATGGGATTCAACATTTTTAGACCAGAAGGGGTGTATTTTGATCCCTCCTGCTCCCCTCTCCTCCTCCGGACCCCCACCCCATACCATCACTTAGCTCTTGACTTGAGCACAGTAAGTGCTTTGCATTTTGTTTCTACTTTGGTTGCGGTAGCATCCATTTCTACACGGGCACTGGCCAACCCATCTTCCCTCATTCACAGGCATTTTCTCCAGCCCTCCAGTCATTCAGTGGCTCTTTTCTGCCCCCCCTCTCAATCTTCAGCATCTCGGCAATGCCTTTCAGCAGCTTGTTGAGGACTCTCGGGAACAAGTTAATTCATCTTGCTGTTGCTTCAACAATATTTACCCAGCAGAGAATGGTTTTTAACTTCCTCCTTAATAATTACCAGTACACCAGAAAATATTTTGTCATCTTCATGTAATGCAAGGGATTCATCTTGCTTCTTTTCAAAACCCAAACAGAAATAATTATCACATGCTTCTGCCTTTTCTGCATCATTAGTAACAAGTTTACAGTCTCTGTTACAATGGGGTTTTCCCTATTGAACTTCTGCTCCAGTGTGTGGCTGAACTGGGCTTTAAGTAAAATTGAGTCTAGTAGTTTGTAGCTGAAAAGTGATTCCTTCTATTGCCTTTCAAGCAGGGGTTTCCTCTTATATTCTGATATTTCCCATGTGTAACCCAGGTACACCCAAGGGTGTGCCCTAATCTCAATTGGATGGGACGGGTAGGCAGGAGGGGGTACTGTGAGAGGGATGCCAAAATTTCGAGTGAATCCCTTTTTCCTCTATAGAGTTAGCCCAAGCCCAAACTACTTAACTATATACAATTTATTGAGTTCTAATATACATAAACCTAAAACTAAAAATCATATACATATATTTACACAGTGAATGTTAACCAATAACCAAGGTCAAACCCTAAATAACACTATTTACCCATTGCAATAAAACAAGTTCAGCAGCATCAACACCGTACAACATCACAATTCAACATTTCAATTACAAAATATAAGGCGCAAACGTGAACTATTTTAATAACATCTGTTCCTTAATATAGTCCCTGACCCATGGCAAGAGATAGTCCTTCTTCCAATGGGGTCCCTTGTGGGATGTCCAGGAAGGACCAGGGGCCCCTCCCCTTAGGCATGGACCAGGCAAGGGGCTGTTCACCCAGCCCCTTCTCTGGGTATGCCCACTCTAAATGGCTTTCCCTTGTGGGACCCAAGGGCCCAATGACTCGCACTCCCTCAGGTGGTGGTGGTCAGGATGCAGCTCGATGGGGTCTCCTCTGCTGGAGCGCCTCTCTAGGCCTCTCCTGCACCGCTGGGGTCCTCCCCGCCCTGTGACCCGCTCTGGGCACCAAGGGCTCAGCTCCTCTCAGCTGCTGCACCGCTGCTGCTGGCTTCTGGGTGCTGGGCCTCACACTGCAGCATTAATATTTCCCTGTGCCCTGGCTCAGCACCGAGGGCTCTTTTAGCACCGGCCAAGTCTTTCAGGCTCCGGCCAGCCGTTCTTACTCCAGGTGGCTAATCCAAGTCCCTCCACTGCTCCCTGGCTCCGCTTCCTTGCACGCTGCTTGCACACCTCCTTGTCCAGCTGCCTGCTGGGGTTACTCACAATGATGCCTGAGCTGCCCTACCACAGCTCCCAAGGCTTGGGCGCATATGCCGCCCTGTGCACTGTGGGACCTGGCTGCTTGCTGGGAGATGGGGCCTGAGTTGCCTCACTGCAGCCCCCAAGGCCCTTGCCCTGTGCACTGCCCCAAGCACTGTGCGACCTGCTGGCCCTCCGGGGTTGCAGGCTCGAGCCGCTGCTTGTGACTCCCAAAGCCAAGGCTCCGTGCACGGAACTGCACCCCGTGATGGGCCCGAGTGATCTCACGCTGCTCCCAGGGCCGGGTCTCCGTGCACTGTCCCCGTGTGCCGTCAACAGCCTGAGTAGTCTCGCACCGCTCCCAAGGCTGCTCCTCCAGTGGTGGCTGCAGAAGCCTTGGGCCTATTGCCCGCTGGGGGAGAGCTCCCCAACTTTTCTTGGCTCTGCTCTTCTTGAGTCCCTCACTGCATCTGCCCCTTGTGCTGGGCATGCTGGGCTTTTATCTACACCAGAGACCCCGCCCCTGAAGGCTGCCGGACCTGCAAAGCACAGTCTTCAATCAGGTCCAGGGGCTCCTTGCACCCCCCCACTCCGAGCAGGGGCAGGGCAAGGCCCTCCCAGCTGTTACTTGATTGGTGGACCAATCACCACTGCTGCTGGGTGCTGGGTGCTGGGTCTCACCCCACAGCACTACCAGTATCAGAAAGCAGTGAACAAAAGTTTTCAATAATGGGTACAATTCTTGATAAAAACTTTGAAAACTAAAAATTTGGAGGGAACTGAAATGGGAAAAGCAACAATAATAGTTAATAGCAAATGTTTTAATGCTGCACCCAAATTAAGTAACAAATAAAGGTGGAAAGGAATGAAAAATGAGAAGAGTTCATGTGAAAATATGAGATGAATTGAAAACATAGAAAAATAAAATTCCAGTATCTGAGAAGCGGTTGTGTTTGATCCCCATAATTTTTGGCACACAAATGATAAATGTTGAAAAATTAAACTTACACATCCATGCACTTCTTTGTTCAATACACATGTACACAGAGGCAGAGACAAATACAGGCTTGCCTCAGTAAAGATGGGTTTTTAAAAGAAAATGAGGCGCACAGGCGAGTCTGCTTCTTAAATGGAAGAGCAGGAGGGCAGCAGGATAAGCTGCCCTGGGAGGCGGGAGAGTCTTCCTCATTGAACGTTTCAAGAAGAGGCTGGAGAGACATCTGTCTGGGACAGGTTAGAAACAGGGCTTCCCAGATCTGTGCAGGGCTTGGCCTAGATCGGGGGTATTCAACCTGTGCCATGAGTGCCACAAGTGGCACAGTCATCCTGTGTGTGGCTTGGGGCAGATCAGGGAGGTGGAGAGAGCTGATAGGTGGCAGGAAGCAGAAAGCAGAGCAGGAGATCAGGCAGTAAGCACCAGGCAGGAAGCTCAAAGCAGAGGAGGAAATTGGGCATTGAGTACAGAGCTGGGAGCACAAAGCAGAGCAGGGGACTGAGCAGGGGAAGGGGATCACAGTAGGGTTCAGGGCTATTCTGTGATATACCCAACAAAAAGGTTGGCCCCACAGGACATTGTGACTCTGGGCAAGCCTTAAACATGTCGGGATAAAACAGATTTCCAAGACAGCTTTTTATTTTGAGATCCTGCACACATACAAACCCAGTGTCCCACTTTACATACCTCTGAGGTACTGACATATCATTTCCCTGGGACAATTCCTTAGAAACTCTCTACTCAAGGAGAGCTGTGGCCTCATTCAGATCATTGTAAGATCAGAGCCTTATTTTAATTTTAATGAGTGCTCCATATACCAGAGGCTGATTGTTTTCCAAATGCTGGCTCTCTCAGGTCCCCAGGTGAGTCCACGTTGGCATCGAGTCGCACTCTGCGCTGGATGGATCGGTAACATCATCCTGGGAACGGCTGTGATAGCGATGGTGCTTTGGGGTGAGTAGCAGAAGGCTGCACGGATGGGTAAGGCGGTAGCAGAGATAGTCTTGGTCCCCTGGAGCTCCACTGGGCATTTCGTGTCATGAGAAGGAGATCTTCAGAAGCACCTAAGGGATTTAGGAGCATATTTCTTTGGCCTTACATATTCTCCTAAATTGTAAGCCCCTATGTTCAGTGTTTGGGATTTGTTTCTTTGCCCTACCACTGATCTGCTGTGAAACTGTGAACATCTCGCTTGCTCTCACTGTGACTCTGTTCTCTTTCTGTAACAGGGGCAGTTTTATTTTTAGACTGTCTTTGTACAGAGCAGGCCCTGGTCTCAGCTGGAGGGCCTACATGATGCTGCCCTGGAGCAAAAGCAGATGTTAGGTTCATCCCAGGGCTGACTGTACTGGGCTTTGACTGGGAACGGTTATTTACACACACAGCTCGAATGACAATTAACTCTACTGTGAATTAGTTGCTATTGGCCCAGGAAGAAGTATTATCTCAATACTTTACAAGTACTTATATGTACTTCACTGGTCCTTAAAATGAGACAAGGGGCTTGTACCTCTACAGGATCTCAGGATAAAGGTTTTTCCCCCCCCAGGAGAAATCTAGTGTCTGCTTTTAGCTCCATTCATAACATTTTCCATTGGCTTTGAAGTGTCCCCTGCTGGCCAGTCACTGTTCAACACACTCCTGTGTTCACTGTGGGTGTTCACTGTGGGTGTCAGGTCTGCGCCCTAACTCATGGCACTTCAGATAAAGCACCATGGATTAGAGTGACACTCCCCACCCAAAAGACTTTTGCCTGTTGGGTGGGGGTGGGGAATGGAGCCTGCTTGCCTGCCTGTTGCATGACCAGAGCTGGGCTGATGCAGCCCTGCCCCTCCTCCCCCACTCCCAGCTCTGGTGCTGCCTGCAGGAAGGGAAGCGGAGGAGGGGAGGGGCAGTGAGCTGCTGGCTGGGTTTGCCCAGCCTGAGCTGAAGGGGGTGGTCTTCAGAGTGGGTTGGGGTGGGGCACATGGTGGGGAGGCTTCAATCCATGTGCCTCACCTCCAGCTCGCAAGCCCCAGCCTGCAGCTCACTCCCCTCCTCCCTCCCTTCCTGCAGACAGCATTGGGGGCAGGGCTGGGCTGCATCAGCCCAACCCCAATTGTACAACAGATTGGCCCTAGGGAACAGATGTTCCCTAAGCTGCCCCAAAGTGGAGTGCCTTCATCTGCTCCCTCGTCTGATGAAGGTTAATTTGTCAGACTGTTGGCCACTTTAAAAGTGCTCTGCAGGTATGCACTTGTGTCATGGTATAGCTATAGAGGGCTTTTAGGGAGCCGATCGCATGACAAATATAACTTCTGTCTGCCTCCTTTGTTTACTCCCTTTCACCATGACTGCTTCATCTAAAAACCAACTGGCAGTGACAAAATTACAAGAAGAGCTTGGGAAGCAGATAGCATCATTTCCCCACAGTCCACCCAGTCCCTTTCAGCCCAGCCCAATCATTTTACAATGCTTCATGCAGATAATAACTGGCCCAGAAGATGCTTCTGAGCCAGTTTCTGTTAATTATTGGCTGGGATCTGGGTTTCTTGTTTGCCAGGGAAAAACCAGTAAAACCCAGATTCTCTTTTAAAGGAGAAAAACCCTGGTAAATGGTTGGTTTCCCCTTGTAGGCTGGCAGAGTTCCAACCTGCAGGGGGCTGGGGGCAGTGGGAAGAGGGCAGTCAGACAGGGGCACCATGTGCATGTGCACATGTTGACATGCACATGACCATTCGTGATGTGTACAGGGTGCACATGGGTGCACGTGCACCCCCTGAGCTTGGTGGTGCACCCCCTGCAAAAAGCACCGCCAATTACTGCCAGCAGTGCCTGCGTGTGGCTGCCACTCGCCATCACCCCCTGCTATCAACACTGCCATGGCCACATGCGGGAGCTCCCCGCTTGCCGCTGCCATGCCCCTGCTGCTGCCACCACTTCCTGTGGGCAGTCACTGTGCACGCCTAGCCTCCAGGGGCACATGGCGTTCATACACATGGCTTCCAGGCAGCCTGCAGGGCAGCTCCCACAGGTAAGTCTGGTGGTGGTGGGGTGGGGGAATTGAGTCCTCCATAGTGAGGGAGTTGGGCATGGCCGGGGCTCGGGCTGCTGCCCAGCGTGGGAGGTCCATGGGGCTTGGGACCTGGGGCCATTTTTGTGGAAGATGCTGGTCCATGATTTCTTTGATTGTGCAGAGGCTGCTGCACATCAGCTTCCACATGGTTCTTGATAGAATGAGACCTTGATCCAGTGGCAAGGAGGCCAAGACAACTGGAGAATTAGAGTGCACTCTTTATCAGGGTCCTGTTACAGTAATATGCACAGGTCCTGGCTGAGACCAGGGCCCCACCGTGTTGTGTGCTGCACGGGCATACAGGCAGGGATGGCCCCTGTACCACCTGAGATCAGGGTCATGTTGTGCCATGTCTCACAGAGCAATGAAGGGGCTGGAGGCCCTCGGCCACATCCTCTTGGGGGTAAGGCAGAACAACATGGGGAGGGGAGGCTCTACATGGTCTTGAACAGAGGGGCAGCTCAGGCATCCCATTCCTTCCTGGGAATATGGGAACTGATTTCAATCCAGTTTTGGCCCTAGTTCTGCATGCTTAAATTTCCCCTCTTAGCCAGGCAGACACCAACCACCGCAGTCCAAGCTCACGGGGCTGGGTAAGGGTTATTATACCAGGCTTTGAGGTACCTGGATGCTGTGGACATGGGGTCCAGCTACACCAAACTGAGACACAGGTTTGGGGTTGGGGGAAGGCTCGGAAGGGCCCAAGAGTCCATTTTAAGCATCCAGGACCGCCCAAATCCAAACACTCCTTTACTCTCCAGCCCTTCAGGCCTCAGACAAAGCCAGGGGGAGTCTCTGGACGTTGCACTAAAACAGGCTCTGAATCAGAAGTAGTGTCTCTGCAGGATGTTGTGCCCAACAAAACTCCTGCAATCTCCGACTCAGGCCCAGAGGCCTGGATGACACTGGCTGGTGCACATGGACAGCCCCAGCTTCTTTGCCCCCAGAGGTCTCTACAGCCAGGAGGTGTTGCCAAGTCCTGTCTACAGCTGGGCAATCTGAGGCATTGGGGTCCTGGCAGGCCCCAGTCTCTTGCTCCCATTCAGTCCTCTCTCCTCCAGGTCAAGGCAACTGTGGTCATGCTGGGACCCCAGAAGCTGGGAGTGGAAACACGTCACCCACCACGGGCAGCGCGTGTCAGGAGCAGATCCGATCTGACTTGATCCAGAGCCTGTGCCCCCCACCCCAGCACAGCTCGGCAGGTAACTGCAGCTCCTTGGTTCCCTCGCCCACCTCTGCTGGGACTGTGGGTGCAGCAGGGTCATGGAGGAAAGGGGCACGGAGGGAAGGGGCCTGGCAAGGTGTCGTGTCCAAGCCCGGCACAGATGCAGGATGGGCTGCTCTTGAGCCATCCCAGGCAGACACGTTTGCAGTCTCCTCTTGCAAACCGCCAAGGAAGGAGAAGCCACGACTTCCCCGTGCAGCTCATCCCACCCTCCTACCAAACTGAGAGCTGGACGATTCTCCTGATGTTTAGCTTGATTTTGACTTGCTGTGTCTAACCCCGTGGCTTCCTGTCCTGCCCTCTGCGGCAGGGGGAACTTCCTCTCCCTACTCTGTACCGCAACCTCTCCAGGAGTTGAGGCTTGCTGTTGGCACCCCACATCTTTGTCTCCTTTTCCCAACTCAGACCCTCGTTCTCTTCCCCTCCCCATGGGTTGGTTCCCAGCCCCTTCCTCGTTTGTCTCTCACCTCTGATTCTCCCAGTGTCTCCCCATCCTGCCTGAATGGCAGTGCCCAGAGCTGTGCACCGTGCTCCAACTGGGCCCGACCAGCACTGAGTGACATGGAGGGGGACAGACAGGTCTTGGTTACACTGTCACAGGGTTTCTCTCATTTTTCCCCACAGCAGGGATCCCAGCTGCTACCCCACCCCACGGCCCTCCTTGCATCACTCTTGAGACCTCCTGTTCCTCCCTGTTCCCTTCAGCTGATGCCCGCTTCTCCCATTTGCTGCTGAATTCACAGTGAGCCTCTGTCTGCAGTTACCCCAGCCCTCCCTTGGCTGCGGTGGCCATGGAAAGGGGGCTTCAACTGAGTAAATCTCCTGTGTGAGCCAGGGGCTGTCCCAGCTAGCGTGTGTCCCCTATATTAGTCCTGCTTCTAGCATCTCCCCCAATGCTGCCGGGAGGGATCAGGCGCATGGCCTGAGTGCTGCACCGGGAGTAATCTCTGCTTCCCAGCAGCTTTGAGGTTGCTCTAGTCAATGCAGTGTCCCAAGAAGGGCCGTGCACTGCCCTGGAGTCCAGGAAAAACAAAAAGGGCTTAAAAATAGGTCCAACCCCACCCTGTGTCCCCAAAGCAGGAAGGCAGAGAGAGAGACTCAGACCTGGTACACTTGTTACCAGTGATCATGATGTCCATCTCTCTGCAGAGGGCCCTGGCTGCAGACTCTGCCCCGTGGACTGGCGGCTGCCTGGGGACAAGTGCTACTGGGTCTCCACAAAACCAAAGTCCTGGAATGAGAGCCGAGAGGAGTGTGCAGCCAGGAGCTCCCAGCTGCTGCTGATCCAGGACCGGGAGGATCTGGTAAAGAGAAAGACAGTGTCCTGCAGAGGAGGACAGGCCCCAAGGGACTTGGGAGGATTCATCCCTGGGGTGGGATTTCACAACTCCCAGAGTGAGTGGGAGGCCCAATACATATGGGTAAGGATGCTGTGTCCACATCCTCTGGGCAGCTGTGACATCTTCCCCGTCAGTCACTATCCCCAGGACCAGTGTGACACAGGGGTGGCTTAATGTCATCCTGATGGAGCCCCTCATGGTTTTCTGCCAAGCAGCATCAGCTGAAGCAGAGGAGCCAGATGTGAGAGGATGGATGGGAGGTGCATAGGAGTGGGGATGAAGCCATGGGTGGATGGACAGAGGGAAATGTCTGAGGAGTGCTATATATAGGGACAGACAGACTGCAGCTGGTGCAGGGATTGTACAGGACATGGGGGCATGAGCAGGGAGAGCACAGCCGTGGCAGGCTGTGTTCACCCGGCTCCTGTCACACATCCTCACAGGACTTCATGAAGAACCTGACAGTAGCGAACAAACACTTCTGGATCGGCCTGTTCGTGCCCTCCCCAGAGAAAGGCTGGACCTGGCTGAATGGCTCCCAGCTCAATCCAGCTGTGTGAGTGTTTCCTGTTCCAAAACTAACTTTCTCTTTCAGCAGAAAGTGGCAGGGAAGTGGGAGAGATTTTGGAAAAAAATCCCAGTCATCCTGGGATACATGTCTGCTCTATTTGGGAGATATTGGACATCCAGGAAGAGGTGACACTGATGCTGCAGGGACTGTAGGAAGTGGGCAGAGGGAAGAAGAGTGTTGGGGGGAGAAGAGCAATGGGGCAGGGAGAGTGGGCAGGGGACCCCATAGCAAAGGGAACCTGGACATCCTCCGAGGTAAGACACCAGAGAGGGCAGTCAGCCATGGGCAGCACAGCAAGGATCTGAAGGGGCAAGGAGCAGGGATCGCAGAGCTGGGGCAGGGGCAGGAAAAGGTCCTCATGGTGCTGTGGGATTGCCCCTCTCCCTGACAGGGACCCTCTGCTCTGATCCACAGGCTGCCAGTGCCCGGCCTGCCTGAGGGGAAGGTCTGTGGGGCAGTGAGTGGGAATCAGATTCAGTCTGAATCCTGCAGCACAGGATTTCTGTGGATTTGCCAGAAAGACGCTGTCCTGATCCAGCTGCGGCTCTGATGGTGCCTCCCAGGGCTTCCCTGCCTTCATCATTTCACACCTGGGAAAACTGAGACCCAAGGACAAATGGACCTGATTGAGATCGTGCAGCAGTAGGTGACAAAGGGACAATAGATCCCAGGTGTCCTGACTTTCAGCCTGACTGTGCTCCAAGTTGCTGGACCCCACTCATCCCAGAGCCAGCATATGACCCAGGCATCCTGAGTCCCAGCAGCCTCCACCTCCAAAGCACCAGATCCAGTTGTCCAACAAGAGCTGGGACAGGACCCAGGTGCCTTGATTTCCAGTTCCCTTTGCTCCAACCCACCAGATCCCACGCCTCTTCCCGAGTGAGGAACAGAACCCAGGAGCTCCGGTTCTCACTCCCACCTTGGCATGGCCCACAGACCCAGTGCCCCCCTGACTCCAGTCCTCTGGGCCCAGGGAGCCAGCATGTCCCAATTCCCACTGGAAGGATGTTCCTGGTTCTCTCCTTTCACCTGTTTCAGCAGTGGTGGGGCCATGGAGTCCAATGCTGGGCAGGGCCATGTCTCAGTCATCCACTAGGGGAGGGGCTGGGGGAGGCTGGCTCTGCCCTTCAGATCCAGTAGAAGATGCAGTGTCCCCCCATCATGTGTGCATGTGTGTGCACATGCATGTGTGTACATGCACATGTGTGTCTGTATGCGTGCATGTGTGTATGCATGGGTGTGTGCATGTGTGTGCGCATGTGTGCACATGTGTGCATGTGTATGTGTGCATGTGCACATGTCCTTGTATGCATATGTGCATGTGTGTGTGCATGTTCATGTGTGTGTATGTGCATGAGTGTGTGTGTGTGTGTCTATGCATGTACATATGTGTAAAGGGAAAGGGTCTCTCGCTGTCAGTCCTGTTACCTTTTTCTTCCTGTATTGTAGCTGTGGGAGGTGGCAGGAGTGGAGTGTGCAGCCTTTACATCAGGGGCAGGCAATATTTTGGGCAGAGGGCCCTTTACTGAGTTTTGACAAGTCATCGTGAGCCACATGACAGGCAGCCCAGGGCAGATAAATATTAATTTTCTAAATTTTTAAGAGCCCTGCAGGCCAGGCAGAATGGTCTGGCAGACCACATCTGGCCCTCGGGCCGCATTTTGCCCACCCCTGCTCTAAATATACATGAAATGAACAATAAATAATCTTGTTCCCAGAACCAGCCCTGCTCTGCTGTAGAAATGTGGGTGTGACATAAGGGATTCTCCAGGTCCTTCCTCATTACATGGGCAGGGAGAAAGTAACTGGTTTCATAGAATCATAGGAGTAGGGTCAGAAGGGACCTTGTAGATCTTCAAGTCCGACCCCATACCTGGGCAGGAGGGAAACTGGGCTCAAGTGACCCCAGCCAGGTAGGCATCAAGCCGCTTCTTAAAGACCCCCAGGGTAGGAACCAGCACCACTTCCCTTGGAAGTTGATTCCCGATCCTAGCCGCCCTAACTGTGAAATAGTTCTTACGGATGTCTAATCTGAACCTACTCTCCAACAACTTGTGGCCATTATTCCTTGTTATGCCAGCAGGGGCTAGGGGAAACAAGGTCTCCCCCAAACCCTTCTGGTCCCCCCTAGTGTATTTATAGATGGTCACAAGGTACCCCCTCAGCCTTCTCTTGTGAAGGCTGAACAAGTTCAGGTCCCGTAGCCTCTCATTGTAGGGTCTGCCCTGCTGTCCCCGGATCATGCGGGTGGCCCTCCTCTGGACCCTCTCAATGTTGTGCACATCCCTCTTGAAGTGGGGTGTGGAGAACTGGACACAGTACTTCAGCTGTGGCCTGACCAGTGTCGCGTAGAGGGGGAGGATCACCTCCTGGGCCCTACTTGAGATGCACCTGTGGATGCACGATAGGGTCCGGTTAGCCCTGTCCACCGTGACCTCGCATTGTCGGCCCATGTTCATCTTGGAGTCAATGATGACTCCAAGATCCCTTTCTGCCTCTGTGCTCTCAAGAAGGGAGTTTCCCATCTTATAAGTATGCTGCCGGTTACTACTGCCCAAGTGCAGCACCCTGCACTTGTCCATATTGAAATGCATCCTGTTTTTGTTAGCCCGCCCCTGCAACCTATTCAGGTCTTTCTGCAGTCTTTCCCTCCCTACTAGCGTGCCCACCTCACCCCAATCTTGAAATCTTTGCTCACCTGCTCTGGTTTTTGCCAGCAGGATGGATGTGCGAAGTTGCCCACTGCCAGCTGTTGTCAGTAAAATGTTTGCAGATCAGTAGTTAAGAAAATGATTTGGTTGGCAGCCATGGAAATGACTGGAACCCCAACACACACGATCCAGCACACACACACCTGTATCTGTAAAGAAAGCCAAAAGAAAAATCCCTCTAAAATCTTAACCTGTTGTTTCCCCTACAAAAAGCAGAGTCAGCCATGTTTGGAAATAAAGCTTGTCATTCTGAGAAGCATTTCAGAGCCTGCTGCTGAAGGCAACACTGGCTAAAGAAACACAATGATCATCATGTCTTTCAACTTTAGCTGTATTGTGATGCTACATAAGAGATGGTGAGGATGGCAGCGATGCTTTCACACTGTACTACCCCACACCTGTGATGCTCCTGCCTGCACCCTGCCCCATGCTGCACCCTTAAGGCCCAGCCCAAAGCTCTGTCCTGGCCCCACCATCTCCCTCCCTGTCCTGCCCATCCTGGTCCCACATGGCTCAGCACAGCAGGCCTTGGAGGTGAGCCCTGAGCAGCCAGTACAGACAAGGGACAGCCAGGGCACAAAGCTGCACAACACGGCTGGGGCAGGAGAGGAAGGAGCTCCCAGGTGGTTCCCTGCAAGGCGCTGAGCTGTGGCCCCACTTAGACACCAGGTGGCATGGCTCTGCTCAGATCTGTCTGTCCACGATGGAATCCATGATTGAGCTGAAGGCTGGCGCTTCAAACCAGCTCATGTTTTCTTAGCTATTTTTGTTTCTTTGTTTTTGCTTGTGTAGCAGGCTTGCCTTTTGGAGCTTGGGTTGACTCCCAGGCTTGAAATCTTGCTGTTTTGATTGGTGGAGCCCATCCGCCAATCAGGAGGCAGCAAGAGCTGTTAAGTCCCCCTCCCTTTCCTGAGGGGAGGGGGAGAGCAGTTCCCTCCCCCCAGCCCCCATCCTGGACCTGATTGAAGACTGAAGACTGCAACACTCAGGTCTGGAAGACTTTGGGGCAGAGCCCTGGAGCGTATAAAAGGAGCTGTGTGCCCAGCATGAGGAGACACATCTGGGACAGAGAAGAGAGAAGAGCGAGGCTTAGAAGAACTGAGGAGAGCTGCTCAGCAGGTTGAAGCAGTAGCCCAGAAGTGCTCCTGAAGATTTCCATCAGTGGAGGAATGGCCGATGACTCCAGCAGCTAGGCTCTTGGTGTGCAGTACAGCACACAGCATCCAGACCCTGGGAGCTGCGTGTGGTGGCTCGGGTCTGCAACCTCTGGCATGCTGCCAGTGACACGGTGCACAGGCCAGTGCATGGAGCAGGACCTTTGGAGCGCTTGGGCGGCTCAGGTTCTGAACCCCTGGAATGAGGCTGGGAGCTCGGTGCAGGAGACACTGCATGGAGGGTCTGGGAACAGACCGAGCCTTGTGCTGCATGAGCCAGCTCAGGCCTCCAACCCATAGCAAAAGGTTGAGTCCAGAGAGTCAGACAGTGATTGCGCTACTGAGCCAGCAGATAGGGCTGAGTCAGAGGCCCCAGAATCCCTGCATAGAGGAGCCCTGTTCCAGGAGACAGCGACTCCCCCAAAGCCCACCGCAGGTGAGACAGCAGCTTGGCACAGAGGACGAGGGCCACCTTCCAGGCTTGGGAGCCGTGAGTTGCAGGGAAAAGAGGATTCCCACAGAGGAGGGGGAGTTCTCCCTGGTTAAATAAGGGGTCCTGAAAGTGGAGGTGCCACTGGGAGGGCCCCCCTAAAGTTACCAGCTTCCTTGTATGGCTTGGGAAAAGCCCAAGGGCTTTGGGGTTTCCCCTTGGGATTAAGTTTATCTTTAAGGTTTAACTGTTTCAGATCAGATACTTACCTGTAATTTATCTGTATCTGGAGTGCTGGTATAAGGTTTAATGTCATTTACCCAAAGGGTATTGTTTATGTTACTTGTTTAGATATCTTATATATATATATATTGTACACATGTTTAGATCCATGTTCCTTTCCCTTGTGATAAGTGAATGTAAATAAATGTGTATATAGTTAAGTCCCCTGACTGTCTTGGCCTGGTTCTATAGGGACAGAGGGAAACAGCAGTCTGCAGTTCCCACCCCACCCCACCCCACCCCACACCTGCCAGCTAACAATCCCCTTCAATTGGAGAAGAGGAGTATATACCTGAGTTACCTGGGCTACACTTGTTTTCTACAAATGTCTCCATTTTTTTTACAGCCTTCGGGGATAGGCATATTTAGCCTGGTTAATTACAGACCGTTCATAAATTGAGGGACAGTTGACAACCATGGACTGAATGTGCTGAGGAGCTCAGCAAAGAGCTGGCAGCAGCCCTGGGATAGCATCACATTTCATGCAATCCCTTGTGACTGCAACCATTGGGGGGAAGTAGCCCCTTGCAGGCTGGGAGTTTGAAAACCTGCAAGGGAAAACCCACGGCTTCCCATGTGTTTCTCCTTTAAAGGATAATCCATTTTTAAAATTTGTTCATGATCCTTTCATATATTCTTGAGACTCACTTCTGGGTCATGACATACAGGTTGAGAAATACTGTCCTAAACATGACAAGACAGCAGGGAGTGAGCAGCCAACAGCCCCCAAACCAGTGACTTTCATCCTTCTTTCATTTGCGGATCCCCCCCAATTTTTGAATGGAGGCACTGACCCCTTGGATTCTAAGTGTGGGTATTCACATACTTTTGATTGATCAGTCATTTCTGCAGGCCCCTTATACATAGTCTGTGCCCCCCGCCGACCCCTGCAGGGGTCCATGGATTACAGGTTGAAAACCACCCCTAGACCTACAGCCAGTGCCCATGAAACTAGCTCTTCCTGTGCTGCCTGCAGCCATTGCTGTTCCAGGAGTAGGGCACAGCCTGGGGAGTAGGTGCTGGTCCCAGGAGAGAAGCGGTGCTGAGGCTGCTCCCTGGTCAGGCACAAGACAGGGTAGAGATGTAGCTTATAGACTAATTAAATGATTCATAGATGCTAGGGTTGGAAGGGACCTGTGATGGCCAGAACCAAAGAAATTAATAAGCAATAAATATGTGCTTCTTAGAGGCATTTGGAATTTTTGTCTAATATAAAGCCTGTATTTTTGTAACCCACAAATGTAACTTGTAACTGTTTGTGGAACTGACTAGGCCCCAAAGACAAAGCTATAGCTGTAAAATTAGCTGATCTAATGGTTTTTGCTCAGAGTTCAGCCTTGATGATAAGAACTGGATTCAACCACCTGGCACACCCAGCACATTCCAGGAAAGCACGTCTCAAGAAAGCATAGTCAGAGAAATCTAAAGGGGTTGGATTAAGGTGGAGTAATGTTAATGTCAAACTTGAAGATGCTGCAGTGTAATTTGCTTATTGGATAAACCCAAGTCTGGGTAGTAAACTTTCATAATAATTTTTAACACCTTTTAATCCCATAGGGTAACAGGTATAAAGCAAGATTGTGAATGGTTCTGAGGCCAACAGATTAGCATAAGACTAGGTACAAAAAGTGCATGTGTCAGTTAACCAGCAGGAAGGGAGGAACAGAATGGTAATTGTTTTTCCAAGCCCGGACCTGAACTCCCGGTGTGAGTGAGAATCGGATCCTGATCAAGGAACCTCCCTGGTAATCCCTCCAACAGCGTCGATTGGGGACACCTGACTTCGCTGGAATCACCTGGTGCGCACCTGGCATTGAGGGACCATCGATAAGTTGCCAACCCATGTCTGTCTATTTGTTGTTTTAAACAGCCCAGTGGCTGATACCCTCACAGTGCCCAGCTGGCCTGCAACAGATTGATCTATCTATCTGTTGTTATTATTTACTATTAGCTCTTCAATCCTTCATTATCTGCTTATCGCATTTATCTTTCTGTTAACCGTTGTGTGTGTAAGCTATAATAAATTTGCCATTGTTTCACGCCCAACTCTGCCTCCTTGATCCCGGACCAAACGGCCCAGTGGCTGATACAGTTGCAGCACCCAGTCAGCCTGCAACTAAATCGATACACTCACAGTGCCCAGCTGGCCTGTGATAGGACCTCAGTAGGTCACTGAGTTTGAGCCCCTGCCCTGGGCAGGGAAGAGCATTGGGGTCAGACAACCTCAGTCAGGTACCTGTCTAGCCTCCTCTTAAGGACCCCCAAGGTAGGGGAGAGCACCTAAATGAGATAGATATAGAGCAGTGATTCCTACAGTGTGCACCATGATGCACTAGTGTGCCACGAGAGCAACAGAAGCATACAGCGACATCCCGTGTGAGGAGATACGCATATGCACTGCTCCCCCATCCAGCTCCCCATGCCTGCCACAGCTACTCCACCAGTGCCTGGGACTGCTCCCTCTGGGACTGCCATGACTGCTGCTGCCTTCCCCACCCTGAGAGAGCCCCTGTGCCAGCCACCACCGTGCTTTTAGCAGTTTGCTCCATGGTGATCAAGCAGGTGGATGCATGCTGCACTTTGCCGCCTGGTTCAACCCCTCCGCTCCTTCCATGCTCTGGAGGCTGGAAGAAGGGGCCACGGGGATGGTTCCTGTTGTGTGAGGAACTGCAGGAGCAGCCTGTAACCGCCGGACCTCAAACATCTTACCTCGGGCTTTCTTGCTCCGAGGGTTTGCGGATATCCGGCTTGCCGTCGCAGGTGGCCTTCGGGGAGGTCTTTCCATGCGCTGCAGCCCGCCCTTTCTCACCTGCCACGACTTCGATCTTTCAGTGGGTGGGGCTTCGTGTAGCGCGGTTATCCTCGTCAGGTACCTGTGTCGTAGATGTCTTCTGCGAGGCTCCTCCTCCCCTGCACCTCGCCCTTACCCAGCCCGGCGGATCTTGGGTATTCCTGTTGGTGCTCGAGTACTCCCTCAGGCACGCAAATAATGAGCTCACCCCTCGCTCAATCTCCCTGCTGATGTGCACTCAGCCCCTTCTGACCTGGGGTAACACAAAAGAGAAAACCTTTCAAACTTAACTAAGACTCAATGTGCCTAATGAGAGGCATAACCCTGCCCCATTAAGCTCCCTAGCAGGGTCCGTAGCCTCGTTGCCCCTCTGCTTACCAACCGGGTCACCGCTGGTGGCTGGGTCCACTAGCCCTTTCTTTCTGTGCCAGATGCCCGCTACTTGTTGCCTGGTATCTCCCAGTGTAACCCTCTCTCCAGGTTCTCCCTGGCCTGTAGCCCTCTCTCTGGGTCTTCCCTGGCCTGCAGCCCTCTCTCCGGGTCTTCCCTGGCCCCCAGCCCTCTCTCCGGGTCTTCCCCTGACCGCAGTCCTCTCTCTGGGTCTTCCTTGGACTGCAGTCCTCTCTCTGGGTCTTCCTTGGTCCGCTGACCCCTCCGTGCTGCCGAGGCTCTTACCACTCTCTCCCCCGGCTCACCCGCTGCTGTCATGCTGTCCTCGGGTGTTGGTTCGTCCCCGGGCTCCTTTAACTCTCTGTGACGAACGCCAGCAGTCGGCTCCGGTGTTCTGCGTCTCCAGCTGACTCTACCGGCCAGGCTCCCTCCTGGCAGCCACGTGCACGCCTCGCTCCTCTCTGACACCGGCTCTTTTATCGCCGCCGGCCGGTGATTAGGAGTGACGTCACCCGCCGACCGCAGGTGACTTAAGGCATCGTCCAGGCCGTGTGCGGGCTTCTCCAGCCATCCCTGCTCTTCCTCGCATCCTGCAGTGAGTAAGTTATTTTTTTTCTTTTCTTTTCCCTCCGCTCCGCCCTCTGTCTCTATCTCTGTCTCTGGGGCTCCCTCCATGAACTCGGGAGTCTCCCCGGTCTTTCTCCACCTGTGACACAGCTTTAATGGTGTGGGGTGCCCTCGCCCCCTAAGGTACAGACCAGAGCCTTAGAGGGGGCAGACAGTGGAAAGAGCAGGGCCCAGCAAGGTGAGGTCCTGCCCCTACTACTCTTAAGTGACACCAGCTAGATGAGTGATTTTCAGTTTATTGAGCCTTAGGGCCCTGCACCAGCTCTGCTTGGATTTAGATCTAAATTAGTGATTTTTTTTCAACGGGGGGGTGCTGCAAATTCAGGAAAGTTCCGGAGTGAATTTTTAACCAGGCACTGGCATCATTTCCTCTGGCAGGGGAATGGAGTATGCTATTTATGTTTTGAAAAAGAAAACACACACACACACACACACACACACACACACACACTCACTCTTTTCAGGTATAAGAGTGAAATATGCTGCTAATTTTAATCCAGAAAATAAGTGTTCTCCAGGTATCAATAGTTTGGGAAACACTGATACAGAGCATACACTTTCAGGAACTTGAGCTGTGGGGGCTGAGAGAAAAATGAGCCTTTGCTCTCCTTTTCCAGCATGTGATGAAGTGAGCTCAAGTTCACGTAAGATTTTGCTGTCTCTATAGCTTATTCAGTTAGTCTATAAGGTGCATGATTGCTCTGCCTTCTGCCTGACTGCGGACTAACATGGCTAACACCTCTCCAGCGGTAGTCACTCGCACCTTGATGTGCGCTGGTCATGTGGGTATACCAGGACAGGGACAGGGGACTCCAGTGGCCTGGTAACAGCCCAGTCCTGACCCTTCAGGTCTGTCCCCTGCCAGGCACCTCTCCATCCTGCCAAGCGTTGCTGCAGCACCATAGCTCCTGCTGCCAGTTCAACCATGCTGAAGTGTGAGACTGCCCAGGCCAGTGCAAAGGTCTCTGGAGAGCCCTGTCTGCCTGCATCTCCACATCCTCCTGCTACCCTGGCATATAGGCATAGCCCTGTGCACACTCAGGCTGGATTTGTGTATCTCCCTTCTGCCCAGGCCATGATGCTATGGGCAGGGAAGTTTCCTCATTCTCCATCAGCCCCACAGTGAGCCCTTCTCTGCCCTGCTACATTGCTCTCCTTGTCACACTCCAGATCAGGCAGATGCCTCTGTTGTGTCCCCTGCCTGCCTTCTCTAGGTCCCAGGTCCCTTGCAAGGGAGGGCAGCAATACTTTGTTTGGGGCAGCAGAAATCCTTGTGCTGGTTTTGGCTCCATCTAACTGGCTCTGCCCCTCTCTCAATCTCTGATGAGAACATCATAGCTATTGCTTTCAGGCCTCAAATGAGTCCCTCTCCTTTGAAATGCAACCCAAGGCTTGCCTGGGTGCAAGATACTTCACACATCTCCATGGGCTTGGGTGCAGCCCCATACCCTAGTCCAGCACCCTCATAGCAGTGCTGAGGAGCTGTTCTGTGACCCAGCCCACATGTGAAGCAACAGCCAAGAGCACCCAGGCCTGGAGGCTCAGCTCAGCACTGTAGCGCGCATGCGAATCTGCCCCAGCATCTCCCCTTCCTGTGTGATGTGATCTCACCTCAGTCCTCATTCACCCTGCCCTGGGCTCAGAAGTTCCTGTCCACACTTCTTCTCAGAACAGCCCAGGGGAAAGATGCAGGATGAGGAGGGCTACACGGTGCTGAACCTGCAGCGCAGGACGGGCAGCTCCCGCAGCCCACGTCCGGCGGGAAGCCCAGGTAAGGATTTCACCCCCTCCTAGCAGACACTGCAGCAGAGGGGTCAGCGCTGGGCTGGCGCTGCCCCTGGGTGGGGGCATGGGGTCTGGTCATGGTTGTCATGGGCATGGGCTGGGTCTGTGGCACGGGAAGGGAGCTGGGCTGGAGTCTGCTGCCCCTGCTCACATGAGTAAGAGACAGAGAGACAGGGGCCCTGGAAGCTCTTCATCCCATGAAGGGGCTGTGGAGGACCTGATAGATGGAGCTGCTTTAACATGCCAGGGCTGGGCAAGGAACCCAGGGGGTCTGGCTTGCAGCCCCTTGAACCTGATGGAGCCCACTGTCTTTTCAGCAGCTGGGGATAGAGCCCCTGAGCCCTGGCTGCCAGCAGCCCTGGAGCAGGGGTGCGTCCATCACTGGCTGAGAGCTCTTTCATAACCCAGGTATTGTCTGCAGCAGGCCTGGCCTTGTGGTCAGAGCCTCAGACTGTCCCCTCCCTGCCTGTGGGGCTGACGCCACAAGTCCCTGCTTCCTGTGTCATTTCTCACCCTGCCCCCACAGCTGTCAGGGGCTCCTGGCTGCACATCCTCTGCCTCTGCTCTCCAGAGAAGAGCACCGGGGCAATCTGAGACAAGGTGGCTGAATGGTAATGGCCTTGGGGCCTGGGAGGGGTGGCTCAAGGGGACAATCCACAGCTGGGAGTCAAGGTGGTGATTTCATTCCCCATTGCTGCACTGGGAGACTCCATATCACAGTACAAGGGTCTGGAGTGGGGCTGCACCCCAGGGAGGGAAGCAGGAGACAAAACCTACACAGGTAGCCCAGTAAATCAGCCTGTACTGAGGCCTCTGTGGCCTGGACTGCTGCAGGGTACAAGCTGGCTACTGCAAAGCTGATTGGGGTATCTCTGTGCTGCATCAGTCACTGCTGGGTCTGCAGTACAGGAAAGCTCTAATCCCCTTGCCTAGGACAGGCCCTCCCTTGCCCTGAACAGCCAGTTGCCCTTCTCTCTACACCTTCTGCTTTGATTTAATCTGTCCTGAACATGAATGACTAGAGCTGTGCACAGTGCTCCAGGTGACGTCCCCCCAGGGCCTTGTACAATGGTATTATTCCTTCTCCAGCTCACTGAGAACACCTTGCAAGATACATCCCATGATCACATTTCCCATTCTTTATGCCTGTATTCATTTCATAGTCACCCAGTGAGGGACTGATTTTCCCAGATCTTTCACAGTTGGCCCTGACTCTAGAAACAGGGTTTTTTTCCCTATAGTCTGCCTTCAAAAAGCAAGGTGTGTGTGTGTCTTATTTAGGGGTGTGAGAGTGCCATAATTTCCCTGGCAACTGAGTATCGGGTGTTTAAGCAAGATCCAGAGAGGGTTCTGCTATGTTTCCCTTTCATTGAAAAACAACTTTCTTGTCAAAGATAAGATCAACCATTCACCTTTGGCAAAACCGTGTGTTCGATCCTGTTTTTCATTTACCTCCGTGTCTCTAATCTGGTTTTTTCTCATGTTGTGATAGCTGAGCAGACCAGCTGGACAGATGTATCAGGAATCTTTACTCCTGCACCTGCAGCTTCCTGCCTTTCCTGCATCATTATTAACAAGTTTACAGTCTCTGTTGCAATGGGCTTTTACCAGTTGAACATTTGCTGCAGTGAGGGCACTTCTACACGTTGCCGTATTTCAGTGTTGCTACAGTACCAAAGTATTACTGGTGCAGTAACCACCCATAATGTGCTGTGCCGACAGCACATATTTTGATTTCCCCGCTATGTCACCGTAGCAGTGCCCTATAAACAGGGAGAGTGCCGCTACGGTGACATAACCAATCATGTGTAGAGTCACGTGATCACAATGTTGGCACAGCAAGCCATACGGTGACACGCTGTGTTGCTTCACTGCCATATGGCGACTAGTACATGTACCCTGTTTGGCTGAACGTGGCCCTAAGTAAAATGGAGTCTAGTAGTTGTAGCTGAAATGTGGTTCCTTGTAGTGGCTTTTAAGCAGTGGTATCTCTTATACTCTGATATTTCCCATGAAATCAACTTTTTCTCATTTCCTAATAGGAAATGTTCTTGATTTCCAGATAAGAATATCCCATTAGAATTGGGGTGGCAAAAATACATAACAGTTAGACTTTGGAAACGGGAACAGAAGGCACAAATAGAAAACAATATAAAACATGGAAAGAGATGTCTTCAGCTGATAAGGTAATTGGAAACGTTTGAGGAAAACCAAAAATCTGCAAACAGAAATAAAAATAAGGAATAATTTACTCCAGGAGCTGGGGAAGGAAAATACCAAATAAGGGTTGTTGTTTTTTTCCAGTAATAGGAAAAATCAGGGAAAAGTATTGTAATAGGGAAATTTGAGAAACAAAAAAATAGCAAAGTCAAAATACTAGCAAATAATAATAAACCTTGACAACAGAACCAGAAAGCCTTGAACAAAAGATTTAAATAAATGTGGAAAGGAACAAAAAATGGAAAGACTGTGGCGGGCCAGTAGGGGGCGCTCCTGCGTTGAGCCGCCCACCTCCCTGCACCCAACCACCTTCCAGGCTCCGAGTGCCTCCCTGGGGTGCCTCACGTCCGGCCGACCCCTTCCCCGGGGCACACCCGCTAGCCTGGGGTTCCCGCTGCCACCATCCAAGGCTCTGGACTCGCTTCTGGCTCTGCGCACCTTGAAAAACGTTTTCCTGATCGTCCAATGGGTACTAGACCCAATACAGGCACTTGGGGCACTTCCCCAAGTCAGGGGCTTAATAGGAAAGTCTCCCTTAGTCCACAGACCTAAGGGGCCTCCTCGGCATAATTTAGACCCACTCCTCAATAAGTCTCCCACACCGGTCTCAAAGGAGAACTTTATTGGTTACAGGGGGTAGGGCGAAAACAGGGTAAAAGGTAGAGCAGTATCAGAGAAATATCAGAGGAATCCCATAGAGCAAACCGATATGGCTTATGGTAGCCTTTTGATCTCGCATCTGAGTTACTGAAGCTAAATATCCAGTCGGATCTCGAGAAGCTTACTCACCTGCATCATCCAGAGGTGGTTGGAGTTTCCCCCTAGAGGCAGGGCACTCTTGGAGCATGCGGTGATGAGGAGAGAGCCAGTTTCAGATTCACCTGGATGACCGCATGGATAATGGCTGCCCTTCTTCCTGGCCCAGGCCTTTTTATAACCTCTCTGACCTCAGCAGCCCGGTCCAATCGAAGCTGCCAGTGCTGGACACAAGCCAACCAATCTAAAAAAGCATCGCTGGCTACCTGGGCCGGTGAGCGGGTCTTTTCCCTCCCCCTCCCCAGGTGACCAGAGAATCCACCTCCCAGGCACCAGGCTTTTGTCATGTGGGCAGGGAGGAAGATCCCCCTCCCTGAGGGATTCAACACTGGCAGACACTGATCTCTGGAGAGGGACACAGACGGTGGCATTTCTGCCACAAAGACTTCCTGTGAAAATATGAGATGAACACATGAAAAAATAAAATTCCAGTATCTAGGAAGTGCGTGTGTTTGATCCCCGTGCACAACTTTTAGAAGACAGATGATAAATGTTGAGATATTAAACTTACATGTCCACACACTTCCCTGTTCAATGTGTGCAGAGAGTCAGGGACGAACACAGGTCTGCCTCAGTAAGATGGCCTTGTAAAAGAGAACGATTCACAGGTGAGTCTGCTTCTTAACTGGAAGAGCAGCAGGGAAATAGGATAAGCTGCCCTGGGATGGAGGGTGAATGAGGATGAATCTTCCTCATTGAACATTTCGAGAAGAGGCTGGAGAGGCATCTGTTGGGGAAAGGTTGGAAACGGCATCCAGAATCTGTGCAGGGCTTTGCCTACATCAGAGGTATCCAGCCTGTGGCATGATTGCCACAAATGGCACGGTCATCCTCTGTGTCTGGCATAGGGCAGATCAGGGAAGTAGCAGGAGCTGATAGGTTAGGAAGCAGAAAACAGAGCTGGAGATCAGGCAGGAAGTACCAGGCAGGGAGCAGAATGCCGAAGATTGGCAGAGGGTACAGAGTTGGGAATTGAGAGCAGAAAGTAAATGAAGGGAGTGAGCAGGGGAAAGGGATCAGAGTGATGATATGCACTTTACATACCTGGGAATTACTGGCATATCACGTCCGCTGGGACAATTCCAGACTCATTCACCTGCCATTCAAGGTGCCTGTGCAAATAAGTGACTTTTGCATCAGTTTTGATTCCAGTCAAAGCCGTGGACAATTAGACCCAAGATAAACCCAACTTCTTAGCTGGCTTTCACCCTCAGAAACTCTCTACTCCAGGAGACCTGTGGCCTCATTCACATCATAGTTGGAGTAGAACCTTAATTTAATTTTTAATCCATGTTCCATAAACCAGAAGCTGATTGTTGTCTCTGAATGCTGGCTCTCCCAGGTCCTGAGCCGAATCGACGTTGGCATCAAATTGCTTTGTGGTCTGGATGGACTGTAAGCATCATCCTAGGGATGGCTGTGATAAGGATGGCGCTTTGGGGTGAGTAGCAGAAGGCTGCACAGGTGGGTAAGGCGGAAGCAGAGATTGTCCTGGTCCCCTGGAACTCCACTAGGTATTTACTGTCATGAGAATAAGATCTGCAGAAGCACATAAGTATTTAGGAATGCAAGCATCTCTTTGGCTTTGGCGTCTTATATTTCCTTTAGTTGTAAACCTCTATCTCCATTGTTTGGGATTCATTTCTTTGTCCGACCGCTGATCTGCTGTGAAACTGTGGACATCTTACTTACCACTTGATCACACTGTTTTGTCTCTGTAACAAGCACAGTTTTATTCTTAGACTGTATTTGCACAGAACACATGGAGAACCTACATGCTGATGCCCTGGGGCAAAAATAGATGTTGGGTTCATCTCAGGGTTGACTGTCATTGTTGGGGGAACAATCGTTTACACATACAAGTGGAATGGCAATTAACTCTACTGTCAATTAGCTACTATTGACCCAGGAAGAAGTATTATCTCAATCCTTTCCAGGTACTTATGTATACTTCACAGATCCTTAAAGTGGGACAAGTGGCTTGTGCCTCTCTACAGGATCTAAGGACAAAGGCTTTGTCTCAGGAGAAATCTAAGATATGCTTTTAGTCCTATTTGGAGTGTCCATACATGACACTTCATTCCCATTGGACTAATTCTACCACACATTAGCACAGCTGGCAAAAACCATGCTGATGTGCCAATGCATGGTTGAGTCCAATGAGCATTAAGCATCACAAAAAAAGCATTTGTATGTGCTAATGCACAGTAACACCAATTATGGTACATTAAGTTAGTACCTGTTATTACAGGTACTAAACGAACACGCAGTAATTATGATACATTAATGAATGTGTAGACACACCCACTCATAACATTTTCCATTTGTTCTGAAGTGCCCCCTGCTGGTCAGCCCTGTATCAATGTACTCCTGTGTTCATATTTGGTACATCTGTACATGCAATTACTATGAGTGCATATACTCTGGAGTAAAGTAATTCGGGTGTTACCACCTTCATGTTCGCTTAAACACACTTAACCACCTACTTGACCACTGTATAGTATCGGTGTCTGACAGGACTATCCCATGCCAGAGTCAATTAGTCTGGACTGGCCTAATTGCCATGCTTATGCAGACAGTAATGCTTTACTGCACAATTAATTAGTCTACCTCACAGTAAAAGTAGACGATGGGACAACTGACAACTGACACTCAGGAAAAAGCCAACCTATTAAATGGGTACTTTGTGTCAGTCTTTCATCAGTCCCATGGGATGCCCATGCCCGCCATGGCACAGGATGCTCCAGGTGAGGGAGATCCCCTGCCCTCCATCAATGCTGACCTTGTGAAGGAACACCTTGAGAGGCTGGATACCTTCAAGTCAGCTGGCCCTGACAATCTACACCCCAGGGTACTCAAGGAGCTGGCGAGCATCATAGCCCAGCCCCTGGCACGGATCTTTGAGAGCTCCTGGCGCTCTGGTGTAGTGCCCAAAGACTGGAAGAAGGCCAATGAGGTACCTATTTTCAAGAAAGGGAGGAAAGTGGATTTGACAAACTATAGGCCCATCAGCCTGATCTCTATCCTGGGGAAGATCTTAGAAAAGTTTATTAAAGAGGCCATCCTTAATGGACTCGCTGACACCAACATCCTGAGGGATAGCCAGCATGGGTTTGTTGTGGGTAGGTCTTGCTTGACCAATCTCATTTCCTTCTACGGCCAGGTGACCTAACACCTGGACAAGGGAGAAGAGATTGATGTCATATATCTTGACTTCAAAAAAGCCTTTGATCTGGTATCCCATGATCACCTTTTGGTGAAACTGACCAATTGTGGCCTTGGGTCCACCATGATCCACGGGCTGGGAAATTGGCTCCGTGGTTGGACTCAGAGTGTGGTAATTGACGGAAGTCAATCATTGTGGTGCCCTGTGACCAATGGGGTCCCCCAAGGCTGTCCTTGGACCCATATTGTTCAACATTTTCATTAATGATGTGGACATTGGAGTCAGAAGTGGACTGGCCAAGTTCGCCGATGACACCAAACTTTGGGGAAAAGCATCCGCACTTGAAGACAGGAGGGTGATCCAGGCTGACCTGGACAGGTTCAGCAAATGGGCAGATGAGAACCTGATGGTGTTTAACACCAAAAAATGCAAGGTTCTCCACCTGAGCATCCTTATAGGCTCGGCAGTGCTACACTCGCTAGCACTATGGAAGAAAGAGACTTGGGGGTCATGATTGACCACAAGATGAACATGAGCCTTCAATGCGATGCTGTGGCTAGTAAAGCAAGCAAAATGCTGGCTTGCATCCATAGATGCTTCTCAAGCAAATCCCAGGATGTCATGAGCCACACACATGATCAGAGGTCAGGAAAACAGACCTTACTATGACAGGCTGAGAGCTATGGAGCTCTTTAGCCTGGAAAAGCACAGGCTCAGGGGTGATCTGATGTCCACCTATAAGTTTATCAGGGGTGACCACCAGTATCTGGGGGAACATTTGTTCACCAGAGCGCCCCAAGGGATGATGAGGTCGAATGGTTATAAACTACTGCAAGACCGTTTCAGGCTGGACATAAGGAAGAATTTCTTTACTGTCCAAGCCCCCAAGGTATGGAATAGCCTGCCATCAGAGGTAGTTCAAGCACCTACATTGAACACCTTCAAGAGTAAATTGGATGCTTATCTTGTTGGGATCCTATGACCCCAGCTGACTTCCTGCCCTTCAGACAGGGGGCTGGACTCAATGATCTTCTGAGGTCCCTTCCAGCCCTAATGTCTATGAAATGTATGAAATGTATGAAATCTAAAAACCAACTCACAGGAGCAAAATTATAAGAGCTGTCCAACCCCAAACAATTCCTTATTCTCAAGCCCTTAAGACCTTAGACAAAGCCAGTGGGAATTGTTACATGTTGGATCAAAGCAGGCTCTGGATCAGAAGTGGGGTCTCTGCAGGGTGCCATCCCCAGCAAAGACCCTGCAGTCTCCTGCTGAGACCCAGAGCCTTGATGACACTGGTTGTTGCACATGGACAGTCAAGCTCTTCCTCCAGAGGTCTCTACAGCCAGGAGGTGTTGCCAAGTCCCATAGTTTCATAGTTGGTAGGGTAAGAAGGGACCTGAGCAGATCATCAAGTCCCCTTCCTGCCCTGGGCAGGAAAGAATGTTGGGTCAAACGACCCTGGCTAGGTGATTAATTAGCCTCCCTTTGAAGGCCCCCAGGGTAGGAGTGAGCACTGCTTCCCTTGGAAATTGGTTCCAGATCCTAGCTGCCCTGACTGTGAAGTAGTGTCTCCTGATATCTAGGCTGAACCTACTCTCAGTCAACTTGTGGCCATTATTCCTATTTACTCCTGGTAGTGCTCGGGGGAACAGGGGCTCTCCCATTCCCCGGTGGTCCCCCCGAAGTTTATAGGCAGCCACCAGATCCCTTCTCAGCCTTCTCTTGTGGAGGCTGAACAGGTTCAGGTCCCATAGCCTCTCCTCATAGGGCCTGCCCTGCTGCCACCTGATCATGCGAGTGGCCCTCCTCTGAACCCACTCAATGCCATCCACATCCCTTTTAAAGTGCAGCACCCAGAACTGGACGCAGTACTCCAACTGCGGACTGACCAATGCTGCATAGAGGGGGAGGATCACCTCCTTGGACCTGCTCGAGATGCATCTGTGGATGCACAACAAGGTGCAGCTAGCCTTCCTGACTGCATCCCACATTGGTGGCCCATGTTCATGTTGGAATCAATAATGACTCCAAGATCCCTCTCTGTCTCTGTGCTGGTGAGAAAGGAGTTCCTTAGCCTGTAGGTGTGCTGCTGGTTGTTCCTCCCCAGGTGCAGTACCTTGCACTTGTCAGTATTGAATCCCATCCTATTCTCATGTGCCCACCCCTGTCTAGATCCAATTGCAGCTTGTCCCTCCCTTCTAGTGTGCCCACTTCTCCCCACATCTTGGTGTCATCTGCAATTTTGAACAAGGTGCTTTTCAACCCCTCGTCCAAGTTGCTGATGAAGATGTTGAACAGTGCGGACCCGAACACTGAGCCTTGGGGGACCCCACTGCCCACATCCCTCCAGGTCAAAAAGGACCCATCCACCAACACTCTCTGGGTGCGGCCCTCCAGCCAGTTGGCGACCCACCTGACTGTAGGCATCGACACCACAATCTCCTGATTTTTTAACTAGAATGGGGTGAGAGACAGTGTTGAAAGCCTTCCTAAAGTCCAGAAAGACTACATCCACTGCGTCACCTGCGTCCAAGGATTTTGTGACCTGGTCAAAGAAGGCCACCAGGTTGGTCTGACAGGACCTGCCTCTAATGAACCCATGTTGGTTGCCCCTAAGCTTATACTCCCCTGCTTGTCCCTCGCAGATGTGCACCTGGATAATTTTCTCAAAGACCTTCCTCAGGACCGAGGTAAGACTAACAGACCTATAATTTCCTGGGTCCTCCTTCCTCCCTTTTTTGAAAACGGGGACCACATGTGGCTCTTTTCCAGTCCTCTGGCACCTTGCCAGAGCATCATGAGTGCTCATAAAGCTGTGCCAGGGGTCCCGCAATGACCTCTGCTAATTCCTTGAACACTCTGGAGTGAAGATCATTAGGACCTGATGATTTGTGCCTCACTTGGGACCATCGGGGATTCTGACTGTGCCTCTCCTGAGTCCGTACAAAATCCCAAATGGGGGGGATGTTCCGGTCTCTGCTCAGAAAAATGGAGGCAAAGAATTTGTTAAATAGGTCAGCTTTATCATCTGGTGCAACCACCAGATTGCCAAGCATGTCCTGGAGGGGCTCCACGTTACTCGGTGCTTTCTTTTTACTCCCTGTGTATTTAAAAAGAGGCTTCTTGTTATCTTTGATCCTGGTTGCTAGTCCTAGTCCTATCTCTGCCTTAGCCTTCAGTGCCTCCCTGACTAATCTCCTGAACTCATTGAAATCAGCCCTCTTTAAGTCAAGGGCTGCTGCCCTGCTCAGGCCTTTGACTGCCTGCACTGGATGGTGAATTCCAGTAGGTGATGATCACTATTGCCCAGGTGGTTGAGAACCCGCAGTCCCCTTACCAGGTTCTTGCCTGTGGCCAGGACCAGGTCCAGCAAGGCATTTCCCCTGGTGGGAGTGTGTACCTCCTGGTTTAGGTGGTGGTCTTGTATCTTGGCTAGGAACCTACGTGAGCAGTCAGACTTGGCTGACTGCTCTTCCCAGCAGATGTCCAGGTAGTTTAGGTCACCCATGATGACCACGTCCCTTGACTTAACTGCTTCTGCAAGCTGACCTGAGAATTCTCAGTCCAGCTCTTCCCCCTGGTTGGGTGGTCTGTAGTAGACCCCCACCATTAAGTCCCTTTCCCCTGATCCCCTTGTATTCTAACCCAAAGCACTTCAGTGTGCCCCTCCTCTGGTCTTGTGCTGTTAGTTGAGGATGCGTATTGTTCTTTGATGTAGAGTGCCACACCCCCGCCTTTCCTCCCTGTTCTATCCTGACTGAACAGGCTGTAGCCCTTGATGTTTACCGCCCAGTCATGGGTTGAATTCCACCAGGTTGAAGTGACCCACTATGTCCGGGTTTGTGTTAGCTAGCAGGAGGGCAAGTTCCTCCTGCTTGTTCCCCATACTATGAGCATTAGTGTAGAGGCATTTAAAGCCTCCTATGGGTGCATGCACTTCTCCCCTGATCCCAAGACTATCCGGACCCCTGTCACTTACCTGGGTATTTGTGCTCGTCACCTGTCTTGGCTGGGAAGTGTCCTCATGTCCCCCCTGTGGCCCCATCCCCCGGCGAAGCTAGCTTAAAGCATGCCATACGAGATCAACCAACCTGGAAGACAAGACACGCTTGCCTTTAGGGAAGAGGTGAAGCCCATCCCACCTGAGCATGCCCCCTGCAGAAAAATGTGTGTCGTTGTCCAGGAACCCAAGGCTTGCCTGGTAGCACCAACTCTGAAGCTGCCGGCTGACCACTCCGATGAAGGCCTCATGGCACCATCTGCATCTACTTACTGGGAGAATAGAGGAGAATACCACTTGCATCCCCATCTCCTTGAGCTTGGCCCCCAGGACCTCGTAGTCCTTCACGATGTGGTCTGGACTGCTCCCGGCTGCATCATTTGTTCCCACATGGATTAGGATGATGGGGTAGTGGTCTGAGGGTCGAATGAGGTCTGGGATCATGCCTGTAACATCTTGAATCTGAGCCCCAGGCAGGTAGCAGACCTCACATGCCATGGAGTTGGGTTGGCAGATGGAACGCTCCATTCCCCTCAGGATGGAGTCTCTAATGACGAGGACTCGGTGTTTCTTCCTCATGGTGTTTTAGCCTTGCTCAGGCCATGCCGTGCGTAGAGTGGCACCGTCCCCCCTGGAGGCATCCACTTTGACCTTCTCCTCTAAGGCTGCCAAGGCCTCAAAACTGTTCCCCAGTTGTACCTGGGCAGCCACCATGCTAGCCTGAGCAGCCCTGGTTCTGGTGGTCACCTCCTGCCATTCCTGTGCTGGGCGTCCTTCCCAGGAGGTCTGTCTGCTGGAAGACTGATCCTGCAGATAATGGAAATATGTGGCAATTTCCTCCTCCGCAGCTCTGATCCCCCGTAGCCTGCTCACCTCAGCCTGGAGCTCCCTCACCTCCTCCAGGGCCCAAAGTCAGGCACAAGAGGGACAGATAAGGGAGCCTCCAGATCCCTTCCCCATCTGCAGCCTCCAGGTCTCCACCAGGCAGCCCCCACAGACAGCGGGGCAGGGTGCCTCCAACCCCACCATGGGCTCCATCTGGGTGGAGGCCTTAGAGGAGCCCAGGGTAGGTGGCACCACTGGGGTGGGGTCCCCCGTGGTTGCCCTCCGTGTCCCTACCACTGGGGCGTGGTCCCTAGCAGATGCTCCCCATGTTCTTACCATGTCCATGGAGCTGTAAGTCTTCCTCTCTCTCTTGCTGAAGACTCCTTCCTGGCTCCTGCTGCATGCCTGTCTTGCGTGAACGCCGGTATGCCCTTTCAGAGCTCACATGTTTGCACTCTCTATTTGCGTGCACTGCCCATGTGCAGCTCGAGAGCATGGCTCCCTGCTGGCTCACTTAAGAGGGATTTGGGGGGCTCACCTTCTGGATCCTCTGCATCTGTGCCAGTTCCCTAGTCCCTCCTCACTTACCTTATGGGATCAGCTGCCATCTCTGCCACTGCCGCCTCTGCTGGCGGTGAGTGTGGGTAGGTGGGTACACATGTGATGGATGCACACGTATGCCCACTCAGCTCTCAAGCCCTGACAGCTCCTAGCCCCATCTACAGCAGAGCAATCTGAGGCACAGGGGTGTGGGGACAGTGATTTCGCCAAGGTCCCAGCAGGGCCCAGTTTCTTGCTCCCCATTCAGTCCTCTCTCCTCCAGGTCAAGACAACTGTGGTAACTCCAGGACCCCAGGACCTGGAAGTGGAAACACGGCAGCCACCATGGCCAGTGCGTGTCAGGAGCAGGTCCGATCTGACTTGATCCAGAGCCTGTGCCCCCCACCCCAGCACAGCTCGGCAGGTAACCGCAGCTCCTTGGTTCCCTCGCCCACCTCTGCTGGGACTGTGGGTGCAGCAGGGTCATGGAGGAAAGGGGCACGGAGGGAAGGGGCCTCGTGAGGTGTCTTGTTCAAGCCTGGCACAGATGCAGGATAGGCTGCTCTTGAGCCATCCCAGGCAGACAAATTTGTGGCCTTCTCTTGTAATCCCCCAAGGAAGGAGAAGCCATGACTTCCTTGGGCAGCTTGACCCACCTTCCTACTGAACTGAGAGCAGGATGATTCTCCCTATGTTTAGTTTGATTCTGACTTGCTGCGTCTAACCCCATGGCTCCCTGTCCTGCCCTCTGCAGCAAGGAGAACCATTGCTCTCCCTGCTCTGTATCACAGCCTCTCCAGGATTTGAGGTTTATTGTTGGTGCCACACCCCTTCATCTCATTTTCCCAACTCAGCCTCTTTGTTCTCTTGTCTTTCCTCATGGGTTGATTCCAAGCCCCTTCCTCATCTGTATCTCACCGCTGACCCTCCCAGCATCTCCCCACTCTTCCTGAACTGCAATGCTCAGAGCTGTGCACTGTGCTCCAGCTGGGCCTGACCAGCACTGAGTGACATGGAGGGGACAGACAGGTCTTGGTTACACTGTCAGGGTCTCTCTCGTTTTCCCCACAGCAGGGACTCCAGCTCCTATTTACTCCACAGCCCTCCCTCCATCACTCTTGAGAACTCATATTCCTTCCTGTTCCCTTCAGCTGATCCCCACTTCTCCTCCCATTTGCTGCTGAATTCACACTGAGCCACTGTCTGTAGTTACCCCAGCCCTTCTTTGGCTGCTGTGGCCATGGAAAGAGGGCATCAATTGAGTAAATCTTCTGTGTGGCCCAAGGGCTGTCCCAGCTAGTGTGTGGCCCTTGCATTAGTCCTGCTTTTAGCATCTCCCCCACTGCTGTAGGGAGGGCGCAGGTGCATGGCCTGACCGCTCTGCCGGGAGTAATCTCTGCTTCCCAGTGGCTCTGAAGTTGCTATAGTTCATGCAGTGTCACAAAATGGGCCATGCACCTCCCTGGAATCCAGGAAAAACAAAAAGGACTGAAAAATAACTCTAACCCCACCTCTGTGCCCCCTCGCCCTGCAGTATTCCTAAAGTGGGAAGGCAGAGAGAGAGACTCAGGCCTGGTGCACTTGTTACCACTGATCATGTCCATCTCTTTGCAGAGGGCCCTGGCTGCAGACTCTGCCCCGTGGACTGGCGGCTGCATGGGGACAAGTGCTACTGGGTCTCCACAAAACCAAAGTCCTGGAGTGAGAGCCGAGAGGACTGTGCAGCCAGGAGCTCCCAGCTGCTGCTGATCCAGGACCGGGAGGAGCTGGTAAAGAGAGTGACAGTGTCCTGTACGGGAGGACAGGTTGCAAGGAGCATGGGAGGATTAATTCTTGGTGTGGGCTTTCACAACTCCCAGAGTTGAGGAGTGGTATGTGTGGCAGAAATGCCACCGTGGGTGCCCCTCTCCAGAGATCTGTCTCAGCCAGCCTGAGAGGCTGCTGTTGAATCCCTCAGGGCGGGGATCTCCCACCTTGTCTGCATGACAAAAGCCTGGCGCCTGGGAGGCGATGCTCTGGTCACCTGGGCAGGGGGGGAAAAGGCCCGGCCCTGCGCATGGGCCCAGGTAGCCAGGGATG